CACTGCCGCTCTCAGCAAAGGATCTTCCTGAGTAGGAACACATGCAAACCATAAAAGTCACTATGTTGGTAGAGGTTTGAGGACTATTGCGTCAAGCTTCCGTCAAATTCAGAGAATTGCCACATTAAAAGCTTGCCTGCCATGCACACCCCAAAGCTTAAGCCAGCAGTCTACACTCCATTCCAACAAACTCATGCCAGCAAAGACATCATCCAAAGATCCCTTAGCTCCTGAGGCAACAAGTGTTGGAACAATTATCAGTCCCTCATCACTCTTCCCAATCACCCATGTGTGACTTCAAGTGAGTTTGTAGGTGTTTTTTGACCCGGGCACAGCGGTAGCCATAACATCCCTACACAGTATCATCATAACGTACCCCGCGGCTTCTTTTAGGTTATACATGGGCTGCCACAGTCTGAATATAGTTATAATAAGGAACCCCTAGGAATCGTGATGGCAATCATCTAAGTAGCTATCCATATATATATATATAGAGAGAGAGAGAGAAAGAGAGAGAGAGAGAGAGAGAGAGAGAGAGAAAGAGATAATATACATACATATATATATATAATCATAATAATAATAACAATAATAATACCTGGGCTCCTCGATTCGATGCGAAGCCCCACGTCGGAAGCCCTGAACAATGAGGAACGCGTCTAAAGTCTGCCATGCACGACTTTCAGGGTCTCGGGTTTAGGAGTTTAGGGTTTAGCATTTGGGGCTTAGGGTTTAGGGTTCCACTATAGGCTCGAAGCCGTAAACTTTGACTCCCTTTATAAACCTCGATAACCGTGAGATTCAATCCCTGCGACACCTCCTGGGAGTGTGGGAGAACCTGCTGCTGGCTGATGGCACCTCTGAAAATGAGGGATTCGGCGTTGAGACTGCGGTCAAGGGTAAGACAGGTACAACTCGAAACTTAGGCAGGATGATCGAGTGGACTTACAACTCTACTGCATAAGCTGCATGCACGTCCCCTGCTCCTGCAAGCAAGGATGTCGGCGCCTATGTTTTGGACGAGGCCAGGCATTTAAACAAACCCTTGAGAAGCGGTGTAATAGGGCCATGGTGTATGTTACAAGAGATTTACCATAGGGAGCCTTGAGGAAGGCTCCTACAACCCCTGCGCAATAGCGCTAAGCCGGCAAACCCAAAGCACAACTTGAACCCTAGATGGGTCAATTGTCGCTCGCTAGTTCCTCTACCCCCTGAATACTACATTAAAATAAGGGTAGGAAGCGTACCCCAAAATAAAAAGCGCAAACAGATACTGCTGGGGGGGGGGGCCTAGCATGAAATTTTGTGGGACCCCTCCATCGGGCACTTCACCACCGTAGGTACATTCATTAGGCAAAGCTTGGTCATGAGACTCCATGGTGACATGGTGCAACTCGATGAGTTTAATCGTGTAAAAGTCATCCCCGAACCCTGCACCCCCCAAAGGTTGAGGGTTGCAAAATTTACGGGTTAGTGTTTTGTTTTGTGAGGGGTGGGTGGGTGCTACTTGTATTCGCGATTAGTTTAGACCGAAGGAAAGCCAAGCCCTCACACTTCTGGTTTCTAAACAATACAAGTCCTAAGGCTTCACTGAGCTTCCCAGTAACCGAGGAGGAAAACAATATAAACTTGTATATCACAATGGTTCCTTTAAGGACCAGGTCCCAAACAAAAACAAAAACGGATGGTACTTCAGAACCAAGTGAAAATCAAATCAGGGGTCAGGGGTCCGGACTGTGGGTCTCGGCGTTCAAGACGAGTCACCGGCTTTCAGGCTTGAGGGTTTGACAATTGAAGTTTGAAGTCCTATATAGATACTTGAGGGTCAATAAATCATGCGTAGTATGTGTACATACATATTATGTATATAAATATAAATAAATAAATATATATATATACATACTCATTCACTTATTTATTCAAAGTTAGTTATTTAGGTTTATGTTTGTTACTTTCTTGCTTCTTTATTATCTTAACTGTTTTTCTGCTTATCTATTTGTCCACATATTGTTTTTATGTGCTTACACACGCACATTTATCTATAAACATATATAAAGATAAATAAAAATACACACATACAAACAAATATAAATCAGCAAATAAATAAATAAATAAATATATATATATATGTATGTATGTATGTATGTTTGTATGTATATATATATATGTATGTATGTATGTACGTATGTAAGTATGTATGTATGTATGTATGTGTATATATATATACGCAAAGAGATTCTGAGCACATGGACCCTTGGGGCTTCGGTGTTAGGGCAGGGTCATGGTCCAACACAGCGCGAGCTGAATCAGTCAAGCAGAACACGCCGTAGCAAGTTAGGGTTTCGGCTTTCGGCTTTAGGGTAAGTTAGTTACCGACAAACTCTGGACCCCAACATCCCGGCAATGGAAAACACCTCGAGTGAGGCAGAGCTTCAGCGAACGATTTCCCCACATGAAACGGCAGCCCGGCGAAGGGCGAAACATCCCAACATCCATAACCTGAGTTTGTAAAAGCATAGCCTGAAGCATGCTCCGTAAGCCCACATGCTTGTGAAGCCGCTAAAGGCTCCGGTTCACTGTTGTAGAAAGTCTACGTGGGAAATCTCTCAGCAGGCACTTGACAGTCTTTCTGGGGCCAGAAACATCCATACCAGATTCTTTTGGGGTTTAGGGTTCAGGGGCAAAGCCTCAGCCCAACAACCCCAAATCCTATCCAGACCCTCCATCTAGCCGTTGTTGGACCCTGAATAAAAACCCATTAGGGGCCACTCATCCCGAATGAAGGCCACAATCAAACGCCCGAGGAGCCATAAGTAAACCCAACCTGAATCATGGCCAGCGCCAGCCTCGGGGCACTTTTCAGATCAGGGTTTTCTTACAGCCGCCCTTTGCTTCGGCGCATCAAGGATAGCTCAGGGCTCGAGTTTTGACATTTACCATAACTTATCCCGCTTGGTGGTGTCGGGGAGAGAACGACAAGTCGACAAAGCTCTGAGCTATGCTGGCCCCATGGTCAATGGCAACGGAGCCTGCTACGAATCTCCAAGCACGAAAAAGTCTGCCAGCACTGTGAGAACTTCCATAGACAACTGGCGCCGTGGAACCCTTGTGGGACCCCATATGACCCTCAGTACCACTATAATTACCCTGAAAGCTCTGATATGGCGCCCTTTAACTACGCAAAACCCTAAACTGCCCTTAGCCCTAAATGACCGAATAGACTGAGATAGGCTGAGTATAGTCCAAACCTGGAGGTTGGAGCTCCCTCCGTTTGAATGGGACGTCCTGCAGGGTTCGTTTATATAGCACATGCTTCACCAAGAAGTATTTGGGGGAGGAAGGGAGGAAGGGAGGGAGGGAATAGGTTTCTGATGGCACTAGAGTTCAGGGTTCAGGGCTTACATGGTTGCTTGTTGGGGACTCTGTGACCCTGTCTCTCTGTGTGTGTGTGTGTTTAACTACTGGCCCGTTTGTCGGGATGTGTTTGTTAAGCAGATCTTGAAAGAGGTGCAGTTGGATGAGGGATGAGGGAATGGACAAATGTAAAGCAGAAACGGAGACAAGCAGCAGCATGGCACGATAGTAAAGCAGAAGCCCAAAGCCGTAAACACTATCGGCTGTGTGTCTTCACGCTGAGTTTGGACATGCTATGTGGTTATGCAGAATACAATCCAAGGACACATGGGATGCCAGACAATAGGAACACCACACAACACCATCATCCCCCGACGTATTAAAAGTCGAATGGTGGAACACGTGATACAATGTGGCAGCGTTTTGTGTTGCAACTGCCGTGCCTCTACTGTGCTAGCAAGGTAGGCTATAAGCAGACGGACAGCAGGGTTTGCAATTCCCACCGGGTGGCTTTGCTGTTCAATCAAACCGCATACTTGTGGTCATCGTGCGGCAAAGCTAGTATGAATGCTGAAGCGAAGATGAAAAAAAACACTGCACTGAAGGAAGCTTGGGGGCGTTGGCATGCACCAGGTTGTGATCAACTTGGATCTGTAGTCCCACATACTTCCTTAGCATGTGGATGGTAAGGGGCTGCCGCACAGGCCATCATCTTGGAAGATAGGAGAGGGAGTTGAAATGACATCTATTTGGCTTGCCGTTACAGAACATGCTGCAATGCTAGTATACCAATGCTCCACCATTTCTGGCTTCTACTCGAAGGGGGATCGGGTCTGACGCAGGGTTCGGGTTCGGGGTTAAGGCCTGCTTGAAGGACACGTTCGACTTGGCTCCATGTTTCAAGGGTCAGTCAAAATCTTTGATCCACCGGACCTTGGCCGGAGCCCTCGTTGGGGATCGTGCATCGGGCTTGGATTTGCATTCAAGCTAGGGTTGTCCCTTGCCCTGTGATTCGCAAAGCCCCTCTTGCAGCCTGCGTGCAAGGTTTCGGGATGATTCGAGGAGCCTCTTGGGGAGATCGAAATATACCCTGACAAGTTCGATCGTTTCCGGTCGCACATGGGAATCCCTCTCGCTCTCTCTCTCTCTCTCTCTCTCTCTCTCTCTCTCTCTCTCTGCCCGTCGCATCCAGCATGGGAATCCCTGCAACCCATAATTAGCGAACCCCCTACACACGAATCTGTTGAACAAAGCTGACAAGCCATGTCAGTAGCAGAAGATCTTCGTGGGACTAGCTGGGAACTGCTGCGATGACATCCGACGTACGCAACAAACCATGATCATCGTTCTGTAAAGTAGGGTCCCTTTTTGGATGCCCAAAATAGTACGGCACCCTTATAAAGGGATCCTAACCTAAAAGGGACCCTATTTTAGTCAACTACCCATGGCAGACTTCCTGACTGCGGAGGTCCCACTTTAGGGGTTACGGGTTTAGGGCTCAGGAGACCAACCGGCGAATCCGTTGTCTACTACTGTTGGACAAGGAGTTGGTTCAAGGGCAGTAGGCACTTGACATTTGCGAGTTCCCTGCTGTCTGTCTGTCCTTAGCCTTAACACTGCAAGACCGAAAAAAAAAAAACTAAAAACTAAATCTCTGCGCCCGGAGATCTGTAAACCCTGAATCTCACCAAGCATCGCATCGTGAAGTCTTGGTGGGCAGATCTCTTCTTATGCCAATTGTAGCCCAGAATGCCCAGCCTGAGATGTTGCACAAGATGTGGGATGCAGGCACGAATGATCCAGGCTTGTGGGCTTCGGGCAAAGGTTGTGGCTTAAGGTGTTTTGTGAATGTTGTTGTTGACCTCCCATCATTCCGACTGCTCCACTAGTCACTACTTCACGGTCAGACTGCCTGAAGACGAGGAAACGGGAAAACCGGCGGTACGTCTTCGCGCCAGCTGTGACTGCTTCGTCATGACAATGCATTGGGCCAGCAACAGACCCGTACCTCAGGGGCACATCGCCTGATTACCTCAAGGTCATCCACCTCACCAGCATCCAAGTCATGGCCTTGCTTATTCAGCTCCCACAATGTCTGCAACTGCCGATCTGGGACTACTCGAAGTTGGACCGCCAAACTTTACCGTAACCCCTGAAACTCCAAACGCTTAACCTTTAAGTCTTGAGTACTGAACCAGGACGTGATGAACCCCTTTCATAGACCCTGTTTAATAGCAGGTTTTTATGAAAGCATTTATGGTGTTTGGGTTGCTCTGGAGGTATGAAGCTGCTGAGGCAAAAGTGGAGCAAAGTCTCTCGGCGAATTTAAGACCGAGAAATATGGCAAGAGTAAGCCCTAGAAGCCTTTCAATGGGTGGAGGTCTTTGGGCTTCGGGTTCGGGTGTAGGGTTTAGGGCCTAGGGCCTTAGGGGTTTGGGGTTAGTTTAGTGGGGGTTTACGTAGGGCTTGGTACTTGGGGTGCAGGGATTTAGGGCTGAGGACTCAGAAGAGAAGGCACTTGCAAATGCTGCGGTGCGTCCGACTGACGAGTATGCATTTTACACCCTCGCCACAAGAATTCCGGCTAAGATGCTGGATCATCTCCCGCAGGCCGCCACCGGTCATGATGATCCATAACCTGATAGAACCCGAAGACTTGTGTCCAAGGCATCAGAGCAAACACCAAAACACACAAAACATGAACTCGCCACCCATGTCATCCGTCGAGAAGACCGTTTCTTGTCTGGGCTTGAACTTACGAAAAGGTTGAGATTTTGTCGGGGCTTATTGCAAAATGTCCAAGATGCTGACAAGACTTCTTGATGGCAAACCGAAAATACCGAAGTCTAAACCCATCAATCCCAAGTTCCGAAAAGAACAACGTCCTTCGAAGGTAAGGGTGGCGCCTCTTCAAGAGTCACGCGACCTAATCAAAACAGTCTATAGTCGAAATCTCATAAAGGAGCCGTTTATTCCCGGCTTCAGGAGCATTGAGCTCTCTTGGAAGGTGCAGCCCTGAAATAGTGAAACAACTGAAGACTCTACGGTACCACACCAGGGTATGCTATCAAGAACGTACGGGCTGAAACGGTAGCCGTGCAGCACCGAGCCCCCTCTGTCCGTGTCACTCTCCCCGCCCCTCCTAAATCCAGTCCTCCTCTCCAGCAGTCGTTCCAACATTCCAACACTGAAACATCTGGCCCACTGCTGCATAACAACTTGCAATTTTGGCCGCTACGCCCCAAACCGCAATCTTGAGAGCTGTTGCACAACTGAGGGATCTTGTGCTAAACACTGGGGTGCCACCCCCTGTTCAGGACAAACCTAGTCTTGTCGATGCGGGAATCAGGCAGGGGTTTTCGGTATATGATTTTATGTCTAAGACAACAAGATTTATGTTTCTGTAGGGTGCTAACTTGTTTCCTTTCCCTTTGCGGTGTGCCTGCACTCATACATCCATAATTGCCACACGCTAGCAAACCAACATATCCGAAACCTGCCTATCTGCACATGCCATGTGTGCAGACATGTAGACATGCCCAAATCCACAAGACATGTGAACACCCCTAAACCATAAACCCCTCAAGCTTAAAGCCCAAACTCCTAAATACTACACCCTCCAGTCAGGCTGCACAGCGGTGAGGGAGCTGTGATCTTCGTGCATGTGCCTGCAAGGTATGAGGGCATGCATTCTTTCGGAGTTCTAAGCAAGCCTAACTCTGCATCTAAGCTGATAAGGTGAGGGCTTGTTGAACCCAAACACATAAAACCGGCCCAACCTTCGGCGCATCTAGTCTAGGATTGAGACTGAGGCATCAGGCCTGGGGTGGCCACAGGGTTTGGCTTGATTAGCTGGAGCTTTGGCATGCGGCGCTTCCAAGGTGCGTCTGGCCGGAGAGACCCCACCAAATGAAAGCAAACAGCTCCACCATGTGGAAGAGAAGACTCGCCAACCAAACTGACCTGTTCCGGCGTCGGGCTTCAGGGATTTACGGTCCAGAACAGAAGCCTAACATAAAGAGCACACTGGCGTTTCTAACTCAAGTGACTTATTTAGGCTTCTATATTAGACTGGCTCGCACAGCCAGCACGATTTTTTACAGCGGAAGCACATGTACCAACTCCAGCTCACCGTGAACCCTATGCCAGTGCTCCCTGCCCAAGCATACAACCATACACTGCAGACTTCCTGGCAGACCTCAGCTGATTCTTGAGGCTCCCATGTCAGTTGGGTGTAGTGGTGATACGCTGGTCTAGGGCTCCTTCTCGAGTTTGGCTTTTGGGCTTTCGGCCTGGTGTGGATTGTCTGCGGAACGAAACTTCAGCAGAAACCAGTGGGGGTTACAAGTCTTGACTGATAAAGCTTATACGTCGAGGATTTCTGAAGCACCCAACCTGGAGTTTCACGGTGTATAGGTTCGGAGATTTCATAAATATAATGGTTTCGGGCTTGGGGTTTAGGAAGCTTGCCCTTCGGAAGATGGCTTTAGGCTGTCCAATGTAAGGGTCTGAGCATGTATAATCCTTGTCTAATCAATCATGCTGTAGCTCTACTCTTACGACAGCCCCGTCGAGCTTTGTTTCTTACAAGTGGCTCGATGAGGTTGCTCCAAAGGCAGTGAACAATGCCCTTGATGGACAGCTTCGAGAACACAGTCAAGTCCTGCAAGAGCAGAGGCGACGCGAAAGGGGGGGGGGGGAGGCTTTAAAACCATCATACCATTTCAGGGCACTCAAGATCAGATGATGTCACGTGCAATCAGGCCAGTTCAGCAGCAAGACAACATTTCACATCGAACCACATCATGCCATACGAGTTTACATTCATCTGAAAAACCAAGATTCAATATGGTATAGCATATCGCGCTATACGGCACCTAGAGGTGTGAGTATATATGTATGTGTGTAATGTACGTGTTCGTCAAACTATAAGAACTGCCTACACATGAAATGGCTGATGCAGAAATTTCTGCCTATCATCAAAAGCATCATACCAAAACACATACCATGTACTACAACACCATGTGTCACTAATATACTACAAAACCATGTGTCGCAAGTTATGCATTACATCGTAGATGCTGTGAGACAAAGACTACACAATACATCTCTACATATCTGTATATGAAGAGTTACTTAATACATTCCTGTCACAGATTATACGTCGCCGAATATTTCCTTCTATGATATATTTCAATAAAAAACATTCAACAGTAAACAGTTATCACGTAAGTTTGAACTGGCCTTTGTTTTCTTATCACGGTGCAGGCCTTCGTGATATCCCACTCTATTACGTGACACGGTCTTGTATTATGCTAGCCTGCATTTTCTACAGCCTGAGGCTATAGAAAAAGGCAGGCTAGCATAACACAATAGTTTACATCGTAAGTTAGTCTCCATTTCAATACTACGGTGTTGTACAATGACATGCTATCTTATGTTATGTTGGGTGTGTGATTTGGGCTACCCGAAAGGAAACCCAAAATGACTAAGGAGTCCTCGCTACTCTCAAAAATCCCGAATACGAAACCTATCTCACGCTTCGTTTAAGGTTTAGGGTTGAAGCTTAAGGTTTAGGGTTTTAGGGTACTTGTTACTAGCCTTTCCGTGAGAAATTGTTGGGCACGAGTGGATAGTGCACCAGTCTGCGATCGAAGACTCAGTCGTAGGCCGTCTACTTTGCACCTGCCGACCGGTGGACCTTAATTCCTCACATGGGTAGTTCTGAAAATTAGGCTCAGTTTTTAGGGTCCGTTTTAAGGGCGCGGCAAACTTTTGGGAATCTAAGCAGGGACCCTAACTTAGAACTACCCACATGCATGTCTTCTCAACCTAAGCATGTCTCGACATTTTGACAAAAAGAACGGGAAACCTGCAAGACGCTGTGTTCGAGTCATCGAAAGCCAGCCGGATGAAAGGAAGGTTCTCGAGTGAAAGACATGTTTGCAACGTGTACATGTCATACAAGAACCACCTCAACAGTGCCTTCTGCAGTGTGTAGGGTTAAACATGGTTAAACCGAACCATTTTGTTTTCGTTCGTGTCCCCCGCTTGTGGCCGACACTGGTTCACAAGCTTAGCCAAGCTAAGCAAACCAAGCCAAGCCAAGCTAAGTTATTGGAGAAGACCGTATCAAACAGAAGACCCCGCCGCTGTGTACCAGAAGAAGAAGCCCGGGTACATATCCACGGGAATATCAAGCAGGTCGGGGAACATGAACACCCAAACATACCCCAATGAATATAGATCTGCAGCTCTGCTTAGCGAAGAACATAACCTGCGTATTTCTCCTCCTGCTCTACCTGTGACACGGCCATCATGATGTCAATGTCGAGCATGTTGGGCCTCGCTGTGACATCAGAGGAGCAGGTGCAATTTGACCTAGTACTCTTGTACTCCAGCCTGCAGACGAACCTGAAGATACTGCAATCCGAAACTTCGAAACACAAAAACACATATCTAGGTTTTCTGAGCGCTTTGGAGCCTTAGGGGGTTTCATAGTCCATCGGACCAACCCCAATATGGGCAAGGGCGAATCATCCGGAACCGAGAATTTATACCCAGTTACACCGGCATTGGTGAGGCTGGGAACTCATCTAGGCCTTCACAGGAAGTCCTTGGCCCTGCACTCGGGTTTGGGAGCCGATTCGAACTGCAAAACCACTCGCCGTGGGTCAAGGCACAGGAGCGTTGCCCGAACGGAGACGTTCACGGCATTTCGACCGCTTCCAGACTTGGACACCTGGATCGCCATTTTTCTCGGCTTGCAGGATTCCGCGGGCTTGAATTCAGGACGGCTGCAGGGCTGGATTTTTGTCTTGCCAGGTAGACGTGGTAAGCCAACAAAGTCTACTTCATAATTTCAGGAAGAAACCCGGACCGCCTCAGGCATGAAGGAGGAGTGCCACTGGATGCCATGTTGTTGGCTGATGTCCTGCCGCGCTTCGAAAAACCAGCTCGTTTTGACGATGCTTTGACGCAGAAAGAAAACCCCAAAGAACACACCGCCAGCCCATAAGGGTGCCTTGTTGCACCCCGTCCCTAGTTGGAGGTTCAGGAAACTTCGAACCCACTTAAGACGACGAACATTGTGTCAGCAAATGGCTTCATAAGCTGTGGTGGGGCGTTACAGTAAGCATCCCCGCAGGAAGCCCCGCTCAAAAGAAACGATCGGGACGTTCCTCTGAAGTAGGTTTCAGGAATCTGGAACCATCACAAGATAGTGCTGCAATCTGATGCGGTGTCCGGTGCCAGGAAGTCTTTTCAACACAGCAGCCTCAAGAAATAGTGCCGAATACGTTTTGTCAACAGTGGCACCGAAACATGTTGGGTCGTCTCTCTACAAGAACTCGGCCATATATTGTCCAACCCGAATGAAGATGTGCGAGTTTAGTCGTAAAACTAGCCATACAACTCAAGTATACGTAGAGCAACCGTAGAGCAACCATTGTGGCCGCGATTCCACTGGAGCTGTCCCAACATTCAACGCGCTACCCCTGCACCACCCCTGTCGCTTCTGACTCACGGACAACAGCTCGGCTGTAAAGTCAGTACAGGGACAGTGACATCACATTACGGGGCAATGGGACAAGAGCAAGCTGCGGATGTGCATTACCTACAAGGGCGATAAAGCGCAGGAGTACAAGGAAAAGTTACCGACACACGATCGAGCTCAGCTTGATGAGGGCTTGAACCTGAACTTCTGGCAAACAATCTTCTGTGCTGTCCATGGCAACCCATTGTCTGATGTGCACATAGTAGAAGATGCAGCTGGAATCTTCCGCCTCGAAGTAGCAGAACTGCTGCAAGCTGAAGTTCCTAAGGGTTCCAAGGTTCCGATCGTGAGCCCGCAATCGCAGGAAACAAACCCTTGCGCATCATCTGAGATTGACCAGAACCACAACACTGATGTTGTAGTAATGTTTTGGTATCCTCAGCCAGTGTCCTTCTGGCTGTCGAATTTCCAGCACGGAAGCATCACCTCAAATGTAACGAGCTACAGTCTTGCAGAACTGAAGATGATACCATTGGTGCTTCGTGGCTTTTCAACGCAGCTTTCACGACTCTCGGCTAGACTCCAGACAATTTCCTAGGGAAAACCCCAAACCCTAAACGCCCAAACCCTGAAAACCCAAACCCACGGTAGCTAAGGCCCGAAGCCCGGAATCAGGAATCAGGTCTCTGCTTGAAGGATCAGGAGACTCAGGAGACTCAGTAGGTAGGTAGGGCTTGGAGTTTGGGTTTTAGTATTTCTAGTTATACCTAACAAATTCTAACGGCTGAATCAACTTAGTGATTGCCCTGGCTAAGATCCCTGAGCCTTATCATCTCCACAGGTGTCTTTCAGGTTACTCAGTCGGAGACCAAGCCTAAACCTTGGGATGGAAATATATCTGCTCTGATAGTTAGAACAGGGCTTTAGGGGCATATTCTACCTGGGTTTGTGTAGGACAGTTTCGGGAATACATGGGGAATTTTGCGAAGCCTTTCGACCCCGGGCCTGCCCAGCAAAGAACTAAGCCGTCTGCTGAAAGGACAACAACTCGCAACAAAAAAAGAGCTCCTGGGTTCTTTTGAACTTTAGTGACTCTTTACTTGCTAGCCCTCATCTTGAGGTCTATGCAAATGAAACTCACTTCTTCTCTGAAACTTCCGCGCATATATATATATATGTACATATATATATATATAACCGTAACCGAAACGCTGCGCTCAGGGCTGCCTAATGCAACTCGAGCTACGCCATCTCGCACGAGGACATCGGGCCGGTAAGTGCAGTTCATGACTTCCTGGGCTTTAGGATTGGGGCTTCGGGTAGAGCATGTGGGAAGCAGTTGAGGGTTCGGAGCTTGATAGGGTTTTCGGAGTTCACTTGTAAAGGTGCCGAAAGAAGGCTCGCGAGGTCCCAGATGTTCTGTCACGTACATGCTGGCAATTTACGTGCTTTCCTTGCTAAGCCCCCCCACACCGATGCTTCGTTCATGTGGATCTTTCGCGAAATTGCTATCTCTTTCGAAATTGCTATCTCTTTTTTTTTGGGGGGGGGGGGAGGGGGGACTGGCACGATTGAAGAATTCCAGTATTCTTTTCAAGATACAAAGGGGGGCCTGGCATGCAGAACCACCCAAGCGCATCCCGACTACCCCAGCAACTCCGATGTACCGGACCTGTAGTCGATCTGCGCCCCGAATCCCCTAAACCCTACGCCAAGGATTGCATAAATACTCTCTTCTTCAAAAACCAGGCCCAAACAAGTTCAAGCTTTTTCGGATAGACCTACATATAAGGCCAAAGAGTTTTAAGTTCTCCCATTGGTTATCTAAGTAAAGCCCTTGAGAGGAGGACCAACCCGAGCCTGCATCCGAGGTATTCAATGGTATATGCCCAGAAAAATGCTTGCTATAGTCCAAACCCTACCTTGCAACTGCACCGAGCTCATGCACCTACAAATACCCTGATAAACCTTACGCCCCAAAAAACTTCAGTCTTAAACTGGAACCATCAAAATGAAAGCCCTGCAACCATTTAAGGTCTTACATCCTGAACCTTCGACCCAATACCAAAAGCCTTATTGCTTACCGGGCATGGAGCGGATGACAGGCCGGCACCGAAAGTAGTCCTGGTAGGACTCTCATCGGCTGGAGGTTCGGGGTTTAAGATTTACCGGTTCAGGGCTTCAGGAGGGGAAGGGGTGCCTGACACCTTACAATCCGGTACCTTGGGGGAGTGATTTCAATCTAAAACGATAGTTCGAGGTAGTTCTTCAGGCCTTCTACTTCATTCTTCTCTCCTTCAAGAACCAGGCCCCCAGGAAGCTATAGTTTCATGCAGAGAAAAAACGCAACAAACTCAAAAGGCTTCAAGTTCGGCCATTGGCTAGGTACGCTAGTCTGGTAGCGGTTCACTCATGCTGGGCTGAAGGCTTTACCGGCCTGGAAGCTGAGTGTCCTCAGGCCAAGTCTGCGTAAGATCTATCCCTAAACTTAACCCCGAAACCCTAAACCGACATAGGTCTAATTCAAGATTCAAGGTTTGAGGAGCCAGGGGCTTCCAGTCCAATCCCGTCAAACAATTCAAGTCTATGAGAAAAAGTAGACAAGCCTCCGAATATAGGGGCCTTCATAATCCGTGAAAAAACTATGTTGCATATCATATAAAATAACTATACGGGACGGTACGGGAATACTATCACTAGCAACTGTTCAGACCCCTATACTCTATAACCCTATACCGCTGAATCCTAAACCGAGTCCACAGCCCGTCCTCGGCGGAATGTTGTGTTTCGAGACGTCCTGGACCTGCCAAGCACGCAGGACGCGTCGAGGATGCGAACCGAAACGACGGCATATACTACACTGAATGTTAAGAGTGTAGTAGCCCTAACTCGTTGATCAATATTTCTGTTTTACCGTACCTTGGTCACAACTCCGAACCCAGAACCTATGCACATCCGGGCAAGGATCGCAAAACATACTAAACAAGTTCGGTGTTCTCTAGATCTGGCTCCCGTTTAAGATCACTAGGCTCACGTGGCAATCTGCAAAGGTGTTGACTGGGGTTCGGGGTTTAGGCTTCGTCAACGCAGTATCCCTAGTTAGGTATGCTCGTGAGAACTTCGCATGACTACATGCCGAAGGCTGGGAGTTCTTGGCCGGCTGGTGGCAAAACTACTCGGCAAAGGACATCAATTACGTTCGCACCGACCCGTGAAGGTATGTAGTTGTTTCCAGGAGCATCTACAGACTCCCTGTGTCACATGTGCTCGTTGCAGGGCTTCTAGGCCTTACCAGCTTACAGGGTTTGTGCATTACGAGGTAGGATTAGGGACCGTCGGGAAAGCTTTGAGCGGGAATTCTTCAGCGTCTGTCAAAGAATGTCTGGCAGAAGCTCGAACCACAAAGTGCCAGCAACACTGAAGGGCGTAAGCTGGCATTGCAAACATAAGTCCAAATGCTGCCCTGACCATGAACCCTAACCCGCCTCCGGTGACACAATGAGCATGTCAAGCATGTCCGCCGCTGCACTCGGGGAAATGTACAAGACAGCGGCCATGCTATCCTGGATGTTGAGATGTTCTGGGCTAGGACAAGGATGGGGAACTGAAAGCATGCAAGTCAAAGGTGTGATTGAGGTTTCAAACAGGCGCTCCGAGATTCGGCATGCTTCGACGTGGAACACACACACAGACACACGCTATCTTGACATCGCCATCTCTATCACTACGCCGGAACGCATTCCAGAAATTGTCAACCAAACGCACGCCTATCCCACACGGCAAATGGCATTCTGTGCACCGCTACCGAGCTTTACAGCACAGACAAGCAGCCTGCGAAGATGCAGCCGCTTCAATGTGCTACAAGGTTTACTTTCCTAGAAAGCTCTGAGACCAGGTACAATGGATCCTCAGGTTCGATGCTTCATTGGGAAACGAGAAGCAGGACAAGGGGTTTGGGGCCTGGGGATTTAGGGGCTCAGGGTTTTAACAAGATGACATATCACAAGGACATGAACCTCCAGAATCCAAAAACCTCCATGTGCAGAGTGGATCCATGAGGTCGACCTCTCATGCAGTGGCCCCGCCCTTCTTTCAAGGACCATGCAGAACAAAAGGGCCCTCATATTCATCCTGTCTAACTGGCCATGTCTTTCTATTCGCGAGTTACAGTACGTTCTCTACATCACGTAACGTGAGAACGGACTAACAGTCGGCTCTATGCAGTGCTGAAGGATATAGCCTTAATGAGGGAGCTTACAAACCCGATTCAAACCTAATTCAATTTCTAGATCCGCAGATACTGCGATCCCCTAAATCCCTTGGTGTACACCGTAAGAACCCTAAAACCCAGAAGCCCTAAGCTCGTAACCCCCACACCCTGCATGCCCGAAGCCCAAAAAGCCTAAAGCCTTGAACCCTGCACCCTCTAGACATCCTCAGCCCAGCACCCCAACATCCGCCACAAGTTCATGCAGGCTAAGGCAGGGACCGTCCGCCCCGGCTGCTGCGCATCCAGGCCTCAGGCGGCGACAAACATGTCAGAAAACGATGTGTGTCTCGACTCTCGCACTCGCACCATGTTGGCAAGGCCTTGGGCTGAGGGATTTACGATTTGAGGGCTCCAGGCTATGAGAGTTCAGCACTTTCGGGAGTTCGGCTCCTAGGTCCAACGGCCTTGTGGCTTCAATGCTGTAGGGTGTCGGGCACATCACCTCCCATTCCGCACCTGAACAGCCCTGCGCCAAGCCCCAACGCCAAGTTGAAAGCCTCAACCCAAAAGGCCCTGAAATGCCCAAGAAAATCCTGCCCACTAGCATCCCATGCCCAACAACAGCCTCAACCCTAAACCCTCAACCTCAAACCCTAAAGCCGTAAATAACCAGTGCCGGGCTGCGAAAGGAGTTCAGCAGCTCCGGCTGTTTCAATGATCTCCGGACCAACTCTGTCACTACCTGGCCATGGGGGTTTAGGGCTTAGGGTTTCGGGGGAGCATGAGGTCGAAACCCGAAGCCCTAAACATCCCTAAACCCTACACAGTGTGGCCATGGGCCAATGAAACCTGCAGCTAGGTTTTGATCTGGGGAGGTGGGTCAGGCTCAGGATTTAGGGCTCCAAAAAACTGTTAAAAGGATTTTGGTCAGGGGTGCTATCAGGTTTTGTTCGGATTTCCAGAACGAGTGCAAGTTTCCGGGAGAGCCCTATACCGTGTAAGTAAGGAGTCCTCAATGTAAACATAATAACAAGATGTAGCGTTACCTAAGGGCCCCTGCAGCAGTACAGGCACAACACGGAGTTTGAGGCTTAGGGTTAAGGGGTTTTGGGCTCAAGCGTTCAGCTTTTCTTTGGTGGAGCAGCTTACAATGATAGTAGAAAGGCCGGGAACTTAGAACAGTGTTGTCCTCATGCCCTTAAAGTAACTTGTGTCTAAGGGATCCTAGCTCGAATCCTCCTAAGCCCATGTTCCAACCTTCTCGGGTTCACCGTAGGTCATAAGGTTTAGGGCTCGGGGGGTTCAGGGTTTAGGGTTTAGGGTGTAAGGTTTAGGGCTTAGGGTTCAGGGTTTAGGGTTTAAGGGTGTAAGGTTTAGGGCTTAGGGTTCCGAAGGAGTTCCTTTGACAATGCAGTCTAAGCATTGACTCCTGCGCAAGCTGGGTTCTCCACACAGGGCTTCAGGGTTTAGGTTTAGGGCCAGTTTAATGTTTAGGTTTTCGGGTTTAGGCGTGATTTATGTTCTAGGACTTCAGGACAAAAGGTGTTGCGAAATCGGCGTCTGCTGCAGTCTGCCGGCGTCTGGATGAATGGCTATACCATACAAGGCTACTATTATATTGGTATTTATTCAGTTCTGTTGCAGGGCCAAAGTTCCCTGCCTCTCCAGCCATGCAGCCTAGACATACCACAGGTCAAGCAGTGTTGAAAGGCTTCTACAGCTTCTAAAAGTTTTTGCTGGATCGATTTCGGATTCTGGGGCTCATATGGTTGCCAGCTGACACGTGGACAAACAACTCGCGGAATGCACAGTTGGGGCCTGAAGCCAACAACATCTCCGACCTCCCCTAAACCCACCGTAAACCTATGCGGAACAGAAGTGGTGGGAACAGTCGCCTCCTCCGCAGCCTCCGTGTTCAGGCTCAGTAGGAAGCCTGAGGCAGCCGGGAAGCTCCTCATCCACTCTAACCCCAATGTAGGAACCTGATCAAGAAACCCTGCCCCTCTGACCCCAAAATGGTAGGATCCATACAAAGAACTCTGAACTGTTGGGAACCCATAGTCTTGGCGTCAGCTGTCACAAAACCTGTAATTACTCTAAACCCCAGTCAGAAACCATGAAAGCTTGCATGGCACCGAGACCGCACAAGTGCATATTCAGTAGCTCAGCGGCGACCCGCTGCCAAAATGCGACAAGGCGCAGATGTCGGAAAAGAAGCGGGGTTCCCCACCAGACTGGTTGTTCAAGCAAGGGGCCTGCGGCTGATGTAGGCTTGCGATGTTTTCCGGTGGTTTAGGGTTTACCCCTTCATTTCTGTTGTCTCTTTAACTGCTTCCCGTCGTCTTGTTTGACCTAGCAAGCATTTCAGCTCAGCTCACCTCCTGGTTTCGCAACAAAGGTGAGAAACATGTTACAAACGACACGACGACGAACAAGTACCATTCCATACCCGGATCCCGAACTCGCCCCGGGCTGAAGCAACGCCCCCACCGGCCACTACACGACAAGAGCATGCTTCCTGCCAAGCACCGTTGTCCTGCACATCAAAAACTGCGAAACAACAAGTCTTTAAATGTGTGGACTCAGGTAAGCTCAAAGAAACATCTCTTTGAGCCCTAAAGCCTCGACAAAATATGAGCCCTTCGAAAACCGACACGACAGCCGAGGCGCCAGGATGTGCATCACATGCTTCGGGAATCCTGGGTCGCTCCGGGTTTCGGGCTTGGGGTGGCTAAGCGGTATGCAACAGCAAACCCTTGTTGCTGAAACAGAGCTCTTGACTTTCTGGGATTCATGTAATGCCTTGGGCTTTCTACCTGCAGGCACTGGCCTCCTGTATTTTGCGTCAGAGCGGCCCACGATACGAGAAGAGCGACAAAGAAGCAAGCTTTCCGCTTAAGTCTCAGGGACATCTCTACAGCATGGTGGCCTGGAAGCCAGGAAGCATGGCAGAGTCCCCTGGTAATGCTGCACCCAACAATGCTTTGTTCATGTCCTGCTAGACGCCAACCACACATCGTGCACGTACCCAAATCTGGCACCAGACACAAAACGGAATCACCCTAGTATAACAGCCGCTGTTAGAATATAGTTTTGGGTTGCAGTGTAGTATATTGTGAACAGGTACCCTTGGCCCTTACATTATTCATTCACAAGGTTTTGGGCCTATTCTATCTTGCGCCGAGCATTGAAACCTTCGTTAGGGTATCCCTTCGTATGCTTGAGAGAACATTCCTGCAAGTTGGGGAACAGCTCCTTTAGAAATACGCACAGACACCACGGCCTGCAACTGTCCTACCGACTCCCGACCCTTGTTACCAAAAAGTACTACTCAAAGCCCAGTCCTTTATCGAATCCGTACACATCCAAGCCCATTCATGCCATCAAATCCCTGAAACCTAAACCCGAAACCCGTTCATGCTACTAGACCTACGCAATTTGAACCAGCCAAGCCATAAATCACTACGCCGAAGCCTTTCCCAAAGGCACTCAGCACGTAGGTTGTACCTAGCACTGTGCATACAACTTCCTTATTCATTGTGTCCCCTGATCTGTCAACGAAAGTAAAAGTACCCTAAACCCTAACCCTAGGCCCTAAACCTTAAAGTAGGAAACACCCAGCCATCTACAAGACAACATGAGCGGAGGGTCGACTCTGGTCGGTGGCGGCCAGCTCAAGGGGGACCCTGGGATGACTGTGCATGGGGTCTCAGGTCTGTTTCATGGATACATACACAATTACATCTATATATATATATATATGTGCGTATATATAGATATATATATGCATATATATATATACATATATACATATATATATATATACATTATAAATATATATATATATACACATTATATCTATATATATATATGTGCATATATGCAAATATACCAGGTTTGGTGGTTCAGGAATTCTTGTGTTCAAGGTCGTTTTGTGGTTTCAGGCTTCGGGGTTTCAAGTGCCACTTCAAAAACACAACCTTCAGAACCCTTCTAACACTATGAGGAATTCGGAGTTCAAGGTGCTCTTAGGGATGAGGAGCGCTTATTGAGAGGCGGTTTTCCCGGACCTACAACGATGTGTGCGAACAGAAAATGAGAGGATACACGATGTGACGTTAACGATACCAAAAATGGAATTCTCTGTGCAAACCGTTCGTCCTCATGTCCAGAAAGGCAATATCTAAATTTCAATTCGAACTCTGGAAAGGTCGCTTTAGCCATGCTAGGGAAGCCTCCGGACTAGTACCGTGAGTCACGAAGGCCCCCCTGTTGACACATGTATATCTATCTATATCTATATCTGTATCTATATACATATATACATATATATATACACACATACAT